ATCTACAAGATTTAGAATGGTAGAAATTTTTATGTTGAGAGGAACATGCGAATTAAAATTAATGTATCTCCCGGACCAACTATCTTTTCTGTACCAGTCTGTATAACATACACCGTCTCTATTAATGAGTTTTACGTCAAGAAAATGCAACGTCGAATCATTTTCAAGTTCCTGAGTGAATTGTAAAAAAGAATTGTACTCATTGAATTTGTTGAAAACATTATCTATATCTTTTTTATTAAGTAATATTAATGTGTCATCGACATATCTGAAATAAACCATAGGTTTGGAAGGTAAAAAAAGAATTTAAGACATGATTTTCCAAATCTTGTAATACTAAATCCGCCAAAACAGGACTTAATGGGCTGCCCATTGGACAACCTCTCTTCATCGTATAATATTTTTTATTAAAAGTGAAATATGATGCTTTTAAAAGTAATTCTATTCCTGAAATAAAAATTTCCATCGGTAAACAAGTGAATTCAACTATTTGCATCCATCTTTTCTTTATAGCTGTAATAATTAGATAATGCGGAAGATTATTAAATAAATTAATGACGTCAAGACTCATAAAGGAACAATCAGGAAGAATTACTTTATGTTTTATATGTTCTATTAACTGGAAAGAGTTATTTAAACGGTATGGAGAATCTATGGTGACATTCTTTAAAATATCTGAAAAATATTTTGCTAAAAAGTAGTATGGCGAATCAATGTAGGAAACAATTGGTCTAAATGGGCAATTAGGTTTATGGATCTTTGGAAGGCAATAAAATTTTGGGGTTAAAGGATGTTGTACTTTTAACTTTAATGATATGGTATTATTAATATGTCCCTTTTTCTCTAATAAATTTATAAATTTAAAAACTTGTCTATGGTGATAGTTGTTCGGATCCGATGCCAATTCTTCATATAGAGATTCATCACTGAGAATTTTCTTTGCTTCTTTATCATATTCCTCTTTTAACAAAACCACTGAAATGTTTCCTTTATCTGCCTTACACACTAATAATTGTTTGTTATCTTGAAGAAATTTTTTGTAGCTATGATGTCCCGGTAGATGTAAGATGTATCATTCTTGCACTGTACTTTGTTTTTGTGAGTTTTTTGAAATGTTGTAAATTGTTTCATTAACATAAATCTTATCCGTTCGATTTCTTTTCCTTCTGGATCTTTGATTAATTTAAGGCCGGCTTCTAGGCTGCTAATAACTTTAATTGAATCATTGAATGTTAAAATTTTTTGTTGGATTGAAAACTTTGGACCTAGAGCCAATATATATTTTATATTATCTGGTGAAAGATGAAACTCCATTAACAAAAAAGAAAGATATAGTTTATAAAGTAAATTGTTTGGATTGTAATTGCTCTTATATTGGCCAGACCTGCCAGAACTTAGAAAAGAGACTCAGGCAACATGAATTACAATGTGAAAAAATAGATAACAAAAAATTTAAAAGTACACTTGTGGATCATGCTAATATCAACAACCATAAGTTTGATTTTGACAATCCCCAAATTTTATTCCATGAGAAAGACTTATTTAAACGGAGCATGGCAGAATCAATGTTAATAGTTCGGACTAACAATAGCATAAATCTAAGAACCGACACAAATATTTTACATGACACTTATATAAACATCATTAATAATTTATAAATTTTTTCATTTATCTTATTCTTTTCAATAAATTAATTTGTTTTTTCATTTTTATCGATTTTTGTATGCGATAGCACTCCTTTTGTTTACATTATAATGATACCCTCTCTGTCTCCATCTAGATAAGTACTTCAAATTTGTTTAGAATATTTCTGTAAGTGTTATATGTTTCTTTAGTACTGTGTCAAGCATTGCAAGGAATAGTTGGTGTTTTTTGTATATCAAAAATTAAAATTTAAATAAATTATTAAAGAATGTGTAGTATATAAGTAACTGTTTTTGAAATTACACTGAAGATAAGACACACCATGGTCTCGAAACGTCTGTAATCATAAAATAAAGTTGTGTTAAACAAATCTGAGTGCTGTTTTGTTCATATTAAACAATTAATATTCGTTCCACTCATATCATAAAATTCTATAATATATATATATATATATATATATATATATATATATATATATAAGTTCTTCAAGGGCAATACATCAAATAAAAAGCAAAGATTCAGAAGTTAATCTTTAATTTTTTCCAAACGTTTCGACATAGGATTTTCTGTCATCATCAGTGGATCTACAGAATGAACATTGAAAAATTAATATAAACTAGGAAAAAATGACAGAAATTGGAAAAAGAACTATAGATACAAGTATTATAATTATAACAATAACAATTATAATTAAACAGATAGACAAACATAAGAAATGAAAAGTAAAAAGAAATATATACAAACATACAAAAGCGTAATATATATACATAAATATACATATAAACAGACATATATATATACGATATACATGTACAAACACGTACACATATACATATATACATACACATAATACATATATATATATATATATATATATATATATATATATACATATATATACATAGACATATGTACACATATATATACACATATATATATATATATATATATATACATATACAGACATATACATATACTCATATATAAACAACAAAGGTAACTTACATAAATATGGTCTTAAATCAGTAAATAGTGTATGGCACATAATTTTGCACTATCATATATACACTAACTTGTTTTTTGTTTTTGTTGAACAGAGCATAGCAAAATATTTGTGAAATATAATATTTTTTTTTTGCACGGAAAAAGTAGTTTATGCGTACATTTCCGAGGCAATAATGTCACATGTGCTTAAAAGTTATTTGGAGAGACCGTTCGAAGGATAGTTGGCGAGTTTTTTACAATCAGTGTTTTGAAGTATGGGTGAAGAGGCTAAGATTCAAAGTTCGGGATCGTACCGCATAAGGATAGGTTTACAGGTTCGGAATTAAGCTAGTTAAGAGGAAACAAGTTTGGAAATATTATTGAGTATCACCTGATAATTTTCATAGAGTAAAGAGGCATCACACCTTTTATTAATGCAAGATTTATTAATGTTGATTAGATAAGATTCAGCAAATCTTCTCTGAATAATGTTCCGTTCGTGATAAAGTATACTAGCGTTATAAAAGTTAAAAGAATGTTTAAAAATTTTTATATGTTCTGTTATCATGGTTTGATTTTGTCGTGGGTTTTTTGAGTTATTATCATGTTGTTTTAGTCGTTTTATTAAATTCTGTCCAGTTTCACCTATGTAAATGGAATCATAATCATTGCATTTTAATTTATAGACAATATTTGATGTGCGTTCTGTGATTTGAGGTTGGAAAAAAGAGAGCTAAGGGTTAAGTCTGTGTTACAAATTAATCTTAAGTCGACCTTGTAGAACAGTTTTTTTCCAAATGGGAAAGAGTTCTTTAATAAACGGGAGACAAACATTGCCAATAATGTTATTGTCTTTGGAGATTTTGGTAGAAGAAGAAGAGGTATTAATGTTATTATTGAGAAATTTGAGTCTATTGTTCGTGACAGAGTTTATGAGATTAAAAGGATAAGAGTTATTGAAAAGTGTTGTGTGGATTAACGATAAATTAGCAGACCAAAATTGTTTGTCAGAGAGAAGTATGACGTGGTCAACTAAATTAATTGTAGTACCTATTTTCATGCTAGAGGGAAATGAAAATAGGACATTATTGCCTCGGGAATGTACGCATAAACTACTTTTTCCGTGCAAAAAATATATTATATTTCACAAATATTTTGCTATGCTCTGTTCAACAAAAACAAAAAACAAGTTAGTGTATATATGATAGTGCAAAATTATGTGCCATACACTATTTACTGATTTAAGACCATATTTATGAAAGTTACCTTTGTTGTTTATATATGAGTATGTGTCTGTATATGTATATATATATATATATATATATATATATATTTGTGTATATATATGTATATATGTATATATATACGTATTATGTGTATGTATGTATGTATATGTGTACGTGTTTGTACATGTATATCGTATATACGAGGTGTGTTCAAAAAGTACCCGGAATTACTAATAATTAAATTTCGCGGGTCTGGAGTGTCTGATTGTCAAAATTTTTTTTTATTGTGTTGGTATACATGCCCCTAAAGTATGATGAAATTTTCAGCTATATTCACTGTTTACTTTGTCTGTGGTAATCGCTAAGGTTCGACGTGTTTTTCTGAGCTCGGCGATTTTTACAATGGAAGAATTGAAAAGTCAAAGAATTTGTATTAAATTTTGCGTAAAAAATGAAATAAAGTGTTGCAAAGTGCAAAAATTCACCAGATATGGCTCCGTGTGACTTTTTCCTATTCCCAAAGTTGAAGAGACCCATGAAAGGACGGCGGTTTTCCTCGATTGAAGAAAATCGCTGAGAGTGCTCAAGGACATATCAAAAAGTGAATATCAAGGGTGCTTCGAAAATTGGAAAAAACGCTGGCATAAGTGTATTATATCTGGGGGGACTACTTTGAAGGGGACCACATTAATGTAGACGAATAAATAAATATTTTTTTGAAAAAACGAAAATTCCGGGTACTTTTTGAACCGGGTACTTTCGTATATGTCTGTTTATATGTATATTTATGTATATATATTACGCTTTTGTATGTTTGTATATATTTCTTTTTACTTTTCATTTCTTTTGTTTGTCTATCTGTTTAGTTATAATTGGTATTGCTATAATTATATTACTTATATCTATAGTTCTTTTTCCAATTTCTGTCATGTTTTACTAGTTTATATTAATTTTTCAATGTTCATTCTGTAGATGATGACATAAAATCCTATGTCGAAACGTTTGGAAAAAATTAAAGATTAACTTCTAAATCTTTGCCTTTTATTTGATGTATTGCCCTTGAAGAACTTACTCATATTTCAAATATATATGTATAAATAAATGCGTGTTTATTTGTTTGTATGTATATCTGTATGTATATTGCAGTGTAGATGGAGTCGATGTATCCAAATCATCTGACTTTAGAATATTACTATTGTCATTCCAAACCAAGGTTATAAAACTTAGAGTTGCTAAAAAGTCTAGTATGGTGCATTTAGATTTATTGGGAGATGATGATTCGCAGCATGGATTGTGGAATTCTCTAACGAGGTAGTTTATAAACCACTTTTATAATAAGATGCTTATTAAAAATTATTGTTGTTTCTTCTACAGTTCGTTTAGCAAAGGAGAAGCTGACGAAACTCTAAATATTTTCTCACTTGCTTCTGGACACTTGTATGAAAGATTTTTGAGGATTATGATGTTATCTGTTTTGAAAAATACGAAAACACCGGTGAAGTTCTGGTTCTTAAAGAACTATTTATCGCCTGCATTCAAGGTTGAATAGCAAAATATTGTATTAACCGGTTCGAATTTTGATTTTTTTTTTTTTACTTTCAGGATTTTTTACCACTTATGTCTAAAGAATATGAATTTGAGTATGAATTAGTTCAGTACAAATGGCCTAGGTGGCTACATCAGCAGTCTGAGAAGCAGCGTATCATTTGGGGTTATAAAATCTTATTTCTAGATGTTCTGTTTCCTTTAAGTGTAAAGAAAATTATATTTGTCGATGCTGATCAGGTTTGTAATTACTGCTAATATCAAGTATATGCATCAATTACATATTCACCGAAGAACAACTTACACTTTCATGTTCATAAGATGAATTTATGAAAATATGAATTTGTGGAATGTTATTCAAAACATCATATTTGCGTAATGATTTCATTTGCAATGAAGGATGTTTTTGTAGCTGCAATATCTCCAGCTGAACAATATAAACAACTCTACTAAAGCCAATGTGAATCCAATGAAACCAAATTTGGAAATAGTATGCGCGTGTGTGTATATGAGGCGAATTTTGACCTTTTGTCAACGTTTTCTTAAAAACATCTAACCCGAATTTTGAAAAATTTAAAAGACATTCAATGTGACTTTTTTTAAGCCGTTTGTTTGTTTATAGTAGAAAAGTGAAAAATGTTTCGTCTACCTTTTTGCCACCATGCCTGAATCAGAATCGATTTTAAAAATTCAAAAACCTTTTCAAAGATATTGGTGGGAATCTAATAATTTATTACTTAAGTTCATACTTGAAGTGAATTAATTTGTCAAATCACGTTCACATGTGCTCTTGATCAACCTACGATCAATAAAATTATTGCAGTAAATGGATAGGAAAAAAGCGTGGGCCCTGTGAATTTTTTTACTGCGCTTCATTTTGCATGATATTTTGGAAGTAGTCTAATCTTAATCTTAAGTTCAGAATTTCCACTCTGTCACCACCCTCCGCATCAATTGGATTATAACTCTTGTAATTCTAATTTTATCAGAACTTGTAATATACTATTTTAAAGGTAATTAAATGTGCTACAACTTGCTCTATCATAAATTTTACCGTAACTTCTCTTATTTTGAAACAGCGAAGGGTAAAAGGGCTCGAAAGAGATTCTGATTGGACAGCCGCCCACTCTTTAAACAGTCATAACTTTATCAATATTTGTGTAACAGAAAAATAATGAAAAGCAATAATTAGACAGAATAAGACCTTGAATTTTTTATATATATATACTTTTATAGGTATTCTTTCAGAGATACAATAATGAAAAGTTGGTTGTTTTTTTTTTAAATGGATTTTTTTTCTTGAAATCATGAGTTTTTTTAAAATCGTTTGTACTAAAGTTGTGGTATTTTCTAGAATCCATCAAGATCTCCTAAGCCAAGTTAATTCCAGATGGAATACGATTATTTTTAATTTTGGTGTAAATGGCTCTCATAAACTATTTGATTTAAATGAAAAAAAAACATTGTATGCGTCTTTTATTTGCATGATAGCTTACTTATTCTACACGCAGAAGTACTCATTTTAAAGCTTATTTTGAGCACTATGAAAGCCCATCTTTATATCTAGCTTAATATTGTTCCTAGAACTCTATAAAATAGCGATTTATTAAGATTTTAATTGATATAATTTTGTTTAATACATGATTTTCGTTAAAATGTATATTTTTGAAGATATTAGCAAAAAGATGAAAAATGCAAAAAAGAAACAAATTTTCAGTAGCCAGTAACTTGAAAAGTATTTGCTTTTTTGAAAAATATTATTAAACTTTTTTTTTCTATAATTAGTTCTCTTATCGATACCAGACATTATTTTAAAAAAAGTAAAATTACACCACTGTAAATGAATGTCATTCCTCCGGGAAGTGGCAACGGAGTCTAAATTATTTTCACTTTTGAACCTGAGAGTAAGATGAACCTAATTCTAAAAATTCATACAATTTGGAGTATAGCAAAAAAGTGCTCCATTCACTTGAGTAAATATTCCGTATCACCACTGCCAAACATATGCATTTTTGACACAATGAAACTTCCAACTAATTTTTTGAATAAGTAATTTTCTTTTTTTTCTTTTGTATTATGATTTAGTGAAGTGAGGCGAAACACGACTGCATTAGTTAAAAAATAATAATCTGTCAAATTAAATTATAGGCTAAGTTTGATGTGCAATCACTGACAGACGCATGCGCAGACTTTATCACCTGTCTTATGTTATTTAATTTCTGGCACAACTCAGCTGCTTTTCGGCAATAATAATGTAGACATTACATCTTAATAATAATTGATAGAATAATATAAAATAAAGTGAAATTTTATTGGTTTTTATTGTATTAAATTTCATTGTGTATTTTAGGTTGTACGAGCTGATATGATGGAATTATATAATTTGGATCTCAAGGGAGCTCCATATGGATATACACCATTCTGTGAAAGTCGAAAGGAAATGGACGGTTTCCGATTCTGGAAACAAGGATACTGGAAAAATCACTTACAGGTTAGTTTTTCTTTTATTTCTGTTGTTTTAACTTCTCATATAGTTTGTGTATTTTCTTTTAAAATATCACGTTTCAAGATTTCTTGATGACATTTTCAGATATTAGAAAAAATTATTTATGTGTTTTTAAAGCATTCATACCAATATAAAATATTAAAAGAAAAATTAAAAAAACTAATAATATGATATTGTGGCAAAGTATAGACTATTGTTGTTGAGATTTACTCTGGCGGGAATATTCAAAATCGCTAACACTCGGTCATCCAGTCCTTGCACGTTCCCGAGTAAATAATCGTTCAGTCTGGCTGGCTTATAGACGTGACTGCTCCTGGGCCAGTGTCCTCTTCTTCGCCGTTTATAGCAGGTGTCCACAGTTTTAACTGTGATAAATGAGCCGTGGTACGGTATCGTTTTCCCGTGGCGTCATCCTGCATGTTCACGATACCATATGTTTCTCCTGGTAGTATCCTGTAGACCATCATTGGTCCACGATACTTTCTTTGTAACTTTACTGAATCCCCTGTTACGACGAGGTGCACTTTTGCCATAAACATTGTCGCCTGTTTTGAAATGCACATTTGTGCGTGCAAGTCATATTTCTCCTTGACTTTTTTTTGTGTCATTTCGATTTTATCAAATTGGCTCCGTCCCATACTTTTGTTAAATCATGATTTTAAATCCCATGCTACCGTCTTCAGTTTCTTGTTCCAATCCTTGCCGGTCTTGTCTTCTAGTGTTGCCTGAATTACGGGTAGTAGTTTCCGGTTGACCCTCTCAACCTGTCCGTTGGTCTGTGCAAGGCGTGGACAGTTCAGAGTGTATCGAATTCCATGTTTCGTGCAGATCTCATCAAATTCCTTGGCTGTGAAGCAGGTTCCTCGGTCCATTATTAATGTCAATGGGGCCCTATAGGTCAGCACAAAGTTGTTGTGTAACTGGTGCGTAGCAGCTATAGAAGCGGGTGCCATTTATTGTTGCTGATACAAAGCCGACGCTATCATTGGTAACTGTACACTGAAAGGGGAGCTTGCCACAGTACCAAGTATCGGCTATGGAGGCAGTGTCCACTTCCCATAGTTGACCAGTTAGAAGCTTGTATGGCTCTGCTAAAAGCGCAAGGTCTAGCTTTTGTTCTCGTATTGTCTGCATAAGTAGGTCATGTGCAGCTTTACACTGATTTAGATTTAGCTGCAGTATCTTCATGCTTGTTTATTTACCTTCTCAAGTACCTTTTTATATACTGGGCATCTGTAGGTTCCTGCTTCGTTTGGACAGCTAGCGATTTTGTGCCCTTCTTATCCGCACCGAATGCAAAGATTTGAACGGTTTACTTTACTTCTGCACTGCAATCCGCGATGCCCAAAAACTAACATTTAAAGCACTGAACTGACTTATTAAATCCAATCCGAATTTTGCCAACTCCATTCAACAATTTCTGCTTCATAGCCGCTGGTAACGTTACTGTAGCAAATTGGGTGCCTCTGTAGCTTTTACGCGTGTTGATTGCCGTCGCTGGTGTTTTACAAGATCCTTCAGCTGCTTTTTTCAGACCAGTCTGAATATCGGCTTTAGTTATTTTGTAATCAATCCCTTTAATTTCGATTGTTACCTCTGCCTCCTGCAAATTTGTTTGACGTCATCTTTAAGAATGCTAGCAATTATCTTTTGCAGTCATTGGCCTTTGTCTGCGCACTTTCTCGAGATTGTAATCGGCTCCGGTCCTGGTCTTATGTATATGTATGTGTCTATATGTATATGTGCATATGTATATGTATACATATATATATATATATATATATATATATATATATATATATAAATTGAGTTTAAAAGTCGTGCGTTACATCAATAAAAATAGTATGAGAGTTTTAAGAAATTTATTTAAAATCCATACGTTTCTGCTAGCATCTAAGTCTTCATTCAGTGGCAATCAATATAACTATAAAATAATAAAACACATACTATTTTGTATCCTAATAATATAACAATTGAAACATTATTAATCCATGGTATGAGTATGTGCACAGTGGTAATATATATATATTTTACCAACACAGATGATAAAACACTCAAATAAACATGAATAACTTAACAAGTTGTCGAAACTGTGTATTTACTATTCGTAGACTAAGGCAGAAATGTCACGTTTCTTCTTGAAGCAGTTTTTAACGTGATGTATATATGATATAATATATATATATATACCCTAGTAGCAATGAATCTGATCTGAATATGATTTTTATGTAAGCTAAATATGATTTTCAAATATTGAGCCCATATGATTTTGTTAACATTCGGTCATATTCCGCTCAGATTCGTAATGAGGGACGAATGCGGGAATATGATATTTAGCTTATACGATTTGCTTAACATTTTTCCATATTACGCTCATATTCCGAATGAAAGGAGTATATGTGGAAATAATATTTATACCATATTGAAAAATTTATATAAACCATATTCAAAATTATTGACCCTATATTCTGAAATATTAAATATTATTTAATTAATATTGAACAAACACCATTAAAAAAAAATTTTTATGTATTCTGAGTAAATATGTACATTTTTTAAATAGTCAATATATTGAATTTTATCATTATTACAATTTTTAAATCATTTTTCATGATTATAGGATATATAATATTTAAAATATATTTAGTATCTATAATATAACATTACATACTAAATATATTTTAAATATTATATATATTTAAATTTAAATTTATAATATAACATTTTGCGCCATAATTAATTTTATTACAGCCTACATATTATTTTTCATTATTATAGGATATAAAATATTAAAAATATATTTAATATTTATGATACAACTTTTCGTGCCATAATTAATGTTTGTTTGTGTATAAGTACTAATCATTTCAGATATTAAGAGTCCACTTGTCTGTTCACTTGATTTTCCATGTTAGTGAGGTTATAACAAATTATTATTTCATATTATACACCATTGATTCTATTAATCACTACAATCTCACACACCAAGTTTCGTTTTTAATTTCACAAAATAATATTTTATCCAGACATTAACTTTTATTAATTTTATCACAGTTTACACACTATTATTATTGTTTATTACTTGAAGATTTAACAAATTTTTCGAACAACGCTTCGAGAACTTTCTCCTGCAGTACCATGTGCAGTGAAGACGCGTTTCTATGAGTGTGTGTTTGTCGAATTTCGCACACTGATGATTAACGTGCGGTTCCATCAAATATTTATATTTAATACAATAAAAATATGAGTTAGTGAGCGTATATATATATATATATATATATATATATATATATATAAATATATGTATATATATATATTATTTATTTATTTAATTATTTATTTATGCGGAAATAGATATCAGACAGTACATCTTTCAAGACATTTTTCCAGCGTATTTAATCGTAATCTATATAAATTATTAGTGTTATATATATATATATATATATATATATATATATATGTATATCTTCATTGTTTATATATTATATACTATATAATAAGCGGCGACGTTTTTATGCTAGGCTAGTGAGTCAAAAATCAGAGTCGCAATCTGTCGAACTTTACGATATGGAATAGTTTAAAAAATTTATAAATTTAATAATTTTGGTTAATAAATCGTTACCGAATTTGTATATATAACTGATGTACACATAACGGTATATATTTGGCCATAACTGATCGCAGCTGGGCAGAAAGAGAGTAGTTGAAAGGGACAGAATATGCGTTGCAACTTGTAAGACGGATTCGCAGCCCCTTGGGCACGCATACATGGACAAATATATTGTATATAATAGACAAAGGAGACTTGTGTGGATATAGGCGACCCAATATAAACATTCAAAAGATTATTATCGACAATATTTTGTAATTTAAATATAACTGCAGCTAATATTGTATTTAATAATAATATTTGTATTATATTGTTACTGTTTTAATTTTTATCAATGGCAAAACATATTTTATAATATTGCATTTGAACATAACTTTATATATATATATATATATATATATATATATATATATATATATATAGAGAGAGAGAGAGAGAGAGAGCAATACAAGAAAAAACATATTCCACATTCGTTCTTTATTAGCAAAATCTTAAATGATTTGTATGTGAATAATTCTATACTCTAAATCCTACAATATTTAGTAATCTCATACACAGCTTACATTTAGCAATATGAATTAACCATGTAAAACTCATATTCAGCGTTTCATATATCGCTCACATTCAGCAATATGGAAAAATCATATGTAAAACATATCATACATCGCTCATATTCATTCCACATTTAGAAATATGGAAAATTCATGTAAATCTAATATTTGCCGTCTCATATACCGCTCCCATTAATCGTACGTTGTGAACGTGGGCTCAACATAGCTACACGCGTAAATATTTAGCTTGCATTAAAAACATCTCCAGCTTAGATAAATTTCTACTGGGGTATATATCTTATATATATAAAATTCTTCTGTAACAATGTAAGTTTCATTAATCCTCCTAAACTATAATTCGGATTTTCATGAATCTTCCTGAAGTTTGTTCGGGAAATTTTCTAGAATGTTTTGATTCGTAGAAATATAGTTATATTGTAGAAATAAATAGAAAAAATTACAAAAATCCGCTTATCATTGTTTGCCCTTGAAAATATTTGAAGCTTAGTTTGACATTAAAAACAATTGAAGACTGTTTCTATTCACTTTCACAATAAGAGAAGTTACGGTAAAATTTATGATAGAAAAAGTTGTAGCTTATTTAATCACCTTTAAAATAGTGTATTACAAGTTCTGATAAAATCAGAATTAAAAGAGTAATAATCCGAATAATGCGGTGGATGGTGACGGAGTGCAAATTGATTTAACTTCTGAACTTAAGATAAGGATTAGCCTATTTCCAAAATATCAAGTAAATTGGAGCACAGTAAAAAAATTCACAGAGCAATAATTTTGTTGATCGTAAGTTGAATAGAGCACATGTG